CATGCTCAAGTTGCTTCCGCCGTACACGTCCGCGCATGGCGCGACCACGGCGGCGTGTAGCGGGTGCGGCGACGGAGGGGAGCGGAGGGACGACGTCTTCTTCGTCATCTTCACCGCAGTCTGTTTCAGGAAGGGACAAGTGGGCTCCGTGCGCGCTTCGCGCGCCAAGCCTGGTCCCTTCCTCCTTCGCTCCTCGTTCTGCACACTGTCGTTCCCCGCCCCGCTGCTCCCCCTCCCTCTGCGCTAACTCTCCCGTCTTCTCTCCGGTCTTTGTCGCATCTTGCCCCCTCGTCCTGCCACACGTTACTCGCCGCTGCGCGTCGCGCCCGGTCCGCGCCGCCGCCCTCCGCGCCGCCGCCCGCCTGTGTCCCCTTCCCCCCCGGCCGCGGTCCGGTCCCTGCAGCCTGCAAACATGGTCAGCGCCGCTGCCCTCCACGCCGCCGCTCGCTTCCGCCTAACACTGCTGCCTGGTGGCGGCTCCCGGCACCCACCCGCCCGCGCGCGCCCTCCTGCACCGCCTGCTGCGACACCTGCCAGGCTCGCAGCGACCACCTTCCGCGTTCTTCGCCCCTCCGTGATGCGCACGGCCCGCGCCGCCGCCCTCCACGCCACCACTCCCACCACTACCTCGACTGCCCCTTCCCAAGCGCACCCGTCCACCACGTCCCCGCGCCGCAGGCACACCCCGCCCACCAGCCCGCAGAACGTTTCCGCCACGCCCGTGTCCGTCCGCCCCGCCACTGCCACCCACCATGCACGTCGCCCGCCACATCTCGCCGCGCACGGCGCTCTTCGCCGCGTGCTGCCCGCTCATGTTGCGCAGAAGCTCCACGCAGCTCGCCAGCACGCGCGCTTCGCCAGCCCGCTGGTCCAGCAGAGTCTCCGCCGCCGCTTGGAACCGCTTTGCGTGGAGCTGCACGCACACCGCGTCCGCGATCTCGTGCGCACGCCCGTCCCAGCCGCTGCACTCGCCCACCACGGCGTCAACGCCTGCCTCCGCTGGTACCCGGCACACCACGTCCGTCACCGTCTCTGAGCAACCCAGTTAGCGCCCGCTCGACGTCGCACCTCCACCTCCCCCCGACACGCGCGTCCAGTTGAAGCCCGCTCGCCGTCCCGACTCTCTTGCCCCCCGCACGGGCGCCCGACAGCTTTCGTGGCCCGCTCGCTGTCCGGCCTCCCCCGCCCCCCGGCACACGCGCCCGGTTGAAGACCCTTGTAAAACTCCACGCCGTCCAGCTCTGGCCCGGTCCGCTCCCGCGCCCTCCGCTCCCGCACACGCACGCGCAAGTGTGGTGATCCATGCCACCCCGCCCGGGCGCCCCCCACCTACCCTCCCCCACCGTCCCTATCGCCGCCCTAGCCCACATCTCCTCCACGTCATCGCCGCACACCCAAAACCGCCCTCCGCCCACCATCATCTTGCAGCCCACCGTCCCTATCGCCGCCCGTCGCCGCCCCGGCCCGCACTTCCTCGTCGCCGCGCATCCACATCCGTTCCCAAAGTCGGAGCACCACGCGCTGCGCAACTCCGCCTTGAAGAATTCCGGCCCCCCGACGCACAGCCCCCGGCGCACCACCGCCCCGCCCACGTCGCCACGAGCCCCCGGTATTTCGGGCAGCCCCGTGTCTCACGCGTCCGCCCCCCTGTCGTACGCGTCCATCTACCACACCGCCGTCACGTGCTCGCAATGCCCGCCCCAGTTCCGCCCACAATGTAGATCCGCGTGGCGCGGTTTAAACGGATCCGGGCTAAAATTTGTAGTGTACTGTAGCGCGGCCGCGCTCGGCAGTCCGCACAGTTATTTTAATTTTAAAATTTAACTTGTCGCCACTTGTCAGCCTGTACTGTAGTGGGGCCCCGCCCCGCAGTCCGCACAGTAATTTTAATTTAAAAGGTTACACTTGTCGCCACTTGTCACTGCCACGTGTCCCCGTGGCGGCCTGGCCTGCGGCCAGGCCCCGCCCGTGGCCGCCACTTGTCACAGTAGCGCCAATGGCAACGCGGGAGCGCAAGGACATACAGACACACACACGTGGCCGCCACTTGTCGCCGCAGCGCCCCCGTGCGCCAATGAGAACCCGTGCGGGAGCGCACGAACACACATACACAAACACACAGACAGACAGACACGGATTTTAGTATACGCGGGGATGTGCAGATAGGTATGCTGGGTATTCATGACACGAACGACAACGTGTACAGTATTGCCTGTCAGGCTGAGGAACTACGCTCCCTGGATCTACTGTAGTGTAATGTAGATTTGACCGTCTTACCATACCTCTACAGAGCTTTGTGGAAGAAATCAATTCCCGATTCTACTGAAAGACAACATCTTCTCTGGAGTCCTCCCCCGCCATGTCGCCAATAACAATCGCAATCGCGACTTGATTTCAGCCTCGACTGCGTTGCCGAATCCTCACTTCTATCGCCCAACACGCTTTGTCAGGGCTCACATCGCGACACTACCGCCCTTGTCATTGCCCACGTCGCCTCCAGGATGCCAGGAGCAGTTCTGGAGGAAAACGAGATCAACGTCTCCGCGTTGCCAACCGTTGCCTCTGTGGAGCAGGCCCTGAAACAATGCCTTGAAAATTCTCTGGACATCGAGCAACAGCTCGACGACCAGATTGCACAGTCGGCTTCTCTCTCCGCGACACGCGCGATATCTCTTTTATCTGCAGCTCAACTCTCCGCGGCCATTTCCGATGACTCGGAAGAGCTCTCCTCTCTTCTCTCCTCGGCCGCTCGCACATCCACGGCCGCCTGTGCCCGCATCCGTGAACTTCACACGCAACTAGAGCGCGGAAATGCTGCTCTTTCTTGGGCAGAGGACATCCTGTCGCTCCGCGTATGCGCTGAAGGAGCGAAGACGTCGCTCTCTGCAGATGATTTCCCGGCCGCTGCTGACCATGTCGCCCGCTATCTTGCTTTGGGTGATGCAGTTCGAGCGGACTCGGCTTCTGCATCTGCTGTTTCTCAAATGGAGCAAAGCCGCACAGAGTTGACGAGGAAGGTCAAGGCGCGAGCAGATGCGGCCTTAGGGGATCCCGCAGCTCCATTAACAACAGCGGCTGCCATTGATGCCGTGCGTCTCTTTGTTCCTATTGGGGCACCGGATGAGGGCTTGGATCGCCTCTCCAAGTACATAGCAAGAAGAATTAAGATGGACTCATATGAAGACGTACGCGAATTGTTGCTAGATGGGCAGGGAGACCCAGGGACGGGTGTCGATGAGCCACATATTGTTGCGCTAGCTCGATTGTTTGAAGGAGTTGCGGCATTCGTACACGACTGCCAACCGCAACTAGTACCTCTGTTTGGGAGAGAAGCCATGGTTTGTTTGATCACTGAGCTACAAGCAGAGTGCGATTCTTGCAGCGATCGCATTCTCACGCGGTATAAGGAAACTAAGCATATGCAGGACGTCCTCCATGCCCTACGCTCTGAAACTGCCAACGCGAGGGATCTTGACGCCCTTTTAAACGAAATAACTCTTCTAAGTCAAAGAATGTCCGCATACTTCGACTTTTTGAATCGGAAGGGAAACGATGTGAGCGAAATCGATGCCGAGAACACTGACGAGGGGCAGCAAAGTCAAAAGATAAGTGACGCAATCAAAGAGAAGCTTGCTGATTGCAGTTTGGCCAATTTCAGAAGGGAGCTTGCTGGGTACTACAACTCCATCGAGTCGTATGTCATGCGAGAAAATGCTCGTCTCGCAATTCAGATCGATGAAAGCAATGGAGATGATGCTGACACTTCCACAGCGGTAGATGATTTTTTCTTCGTCATGCAAAAGTGCTTCCAGAGGGCGTTCGCCTTTGGTGACACAGACGCTGAAGTGCTGCGAGCTATATTGCAGCAAGTGAGTCAATGCCTCATGAATGACTTACTTGCATACATGCGTCGACGCCTGCGAGAAACAGAGACCGCGTTGGAAAAGGCTTTAGGAGGGTCTGCTGCGATGTCTTCTCTGCCGACTGCCGCTTTCACTGTCTCGTATCTCACAGAGCTAGCGAACAAAGCAAATATCAGCATACCGGGAGGAATCGAAGATGGGAGTCAAGAGTCTGATGTCGCAAAGTACGACTTCTTCGTGGCTTTGAACAATGCGGCTGTATCAGGTGAATACGCGACAAGATTGAGAAGCAACGTGGAGAAGGCCATCCACGCGTCACCGAAATTGTCAACAGACGACACTTCTTTCTTGGCAGCTCCCATCGCCCAGATCACGGATGCTGCGAGGGCATTGGTACTCGCTTCAGAGCACGGTGTCTCTCGACTGGCATCTGTTCTCTTGACTCGTGTTACATCGGCGATCGAGACATCACTAAAGGAAGCATCATACTTGGTGGGAGAGACAGAATACTCACTGGATTCTGATGCAACCCCGTCTTTTTCAACAGAGGTTGCCCAGGAAATAGAAACGAAAGTCCTGAGTGTGGCCCTCGAAAAGCGGCTGACTGAAAAGAATTGGGATGCACTCGTGCGACAAGTCGCGGAATGGTATGCAAACAAAGTAGAGAGTGTAATCTTCCTGCCACCGATAGGCAGCACCGCCACAGTGAAACCGTTTAACGCATTCGGCGGATTGCGAGCAGATCGTGATGTACGAGCAATATCCGCGTACTTCTCTGGGAAGAGCCGACGAAGTACAGTTCGTGACGTCTTTGGAAGACTTTCTCAACTTGCAATGGTCGTCAATTTAGAGCGACCGGCAGAAATATACGACATATGGGGACCGAACGCGGGAGGTATGACATGGAGACTTGCTCCTGGTGAGGTGCGACGAACTCTATCTCTTCGCAAAGACTTCAACGAGGATGCCGTCAGGGCATTGAAGCTGTAACATAAACCACGACCAAATACTGTCCAAACTTTGCCACCTTGTTCTTTCAAACTTGCCACACAGAGCAGTTGCGCACAACAGGAGCGATGCAGCCGTGCTGTGGATAGTGACTTCGTTGCAGAAAGCTGGGCCGTGTTTCGCAAGAATCCTGCAAAACCAATAATACAAAGGTTCTCAGATGTACAAGTCAATTTTATCACATCGATACTCAAAACTATGCAGAGACATCCATGGTGTCCTGCGCAGGCGCAACTTCTGCAACGACCGAGAATCCCTTCTCGGGACCCTTGAATTGTTCCGAACCAGCAATGACCGGTGTCGCACCATGTGGGAAAATGTATCCAGCCGGGCGCCGATACTTACGCTCATTCTCCTTCGCATAGCCCCGGATGAGCTCCTTGCCCTCCTTCGTAATAATGCACAAATCGACATTCCCTCCGGATCCCAGATCGTTGAATATACCGGCAGAAATGCCCTCGTAAACAAGTTGCTTCGCTTCGTCAGCAGTCATATCTTCTTTGTACTTTGACTCAAATACTGCCATCGCTGCCAGCGATCCAGACCCCATGGTCACGTAAGGTAGGCGATCTGTAGATCCATGCGGATAAACGGTGTACAAATGTGGTCCGTGGAAGTCCACACCGCCTAGTACGAGAGCGGCGGAAATGTGACCCTGGTATCTAAACAGCATTTGCTTCAGCATGTTGAGCGCAGTCGCGACACGAGGAGCACGACGGGTGGCGAGGCTATGCAAAGCCAACTGAGATGAGATGAGCTGCGTTGTGGCGTCCGTGTCTGCAGCAGTACCCGCTCCACAGCACATGATACTGTCCGCGATGTAGTGGATCTTCTGGCAATTTTTCTCAAACACTGTTGGCCCCGACGTCGCGCGTGTATCAGCCCCAAGAACGACGCCCCCAGAGAAAACAACCCCCGCAATGGTGGTACCCGTCTTCCGCGCGGTCGGCGGAGCGTACCCCTTTTGCTGCAACATACTGTTACGGATCACATTGTCAAATGAGAATCCGCCCGGTGCGTTCCCAGAGGAAGTCATCCTGGCCGTACCTAGAAATCGGAATGCCGGCGCTTTGCACTGCTAGCGAAGAAGAGGGATGGATGAGTCCAAGGCGTACTGCGATGGTGTTGTGAGCAGTGAGATCGTAGGGCGATCAGTAGTGAGCCAACATGTGTCATTCCATATGGCGATCGCGCTGGAGGGCGGATCAGGTCTTCCTAAACATTTTCGTCAAAAGTTTTCACATCTGTCAAAAGCTACATGCTGAAGCTTCAGTACATGTGTATGGGACGGGTACATTACGTGTACAGCAATTGGAGCTGGTTCACTTCAACACGTGTACAATTCTTTTGTTGTCAAAAAGTCCTCTCGTGATATGACCACTCCTCCGCACTTTGTTACCTCTGTCAACGTCAAGAAGGCCAGGCCGTTCAGGGTTCTTGGGATGGCTCCGCACCATACAAATATACCGCAATGTATAGAATACGGCAATCCTCTGCAGATGCGAAATGCTGTTGTTGCAGTGACATCATTCTGCCTGCCTTGTGTCTTGCAAGAAAGGTTGCAAAGAGACAAGCCAGACTATCCGAAGTACAGCTCTGGCAGGCTTGTACGTAATTTGAGAGTGTATTATGCAGAAGCAGCTCTACTTCCATTTTTAACACTGTATTGGAATTCATCTCCGGCGCAAATATCAGCGATGCGTGGAAACGGAGCAAGAGGTGGTACTTACTATGTTGCTGACACATTCTTCCTTATCAATAGTTGACTACCCTAGGAGCTGTATCTAATAATGATCGCCTTACCCAAAAAGAGAAGGATTTTTTTGCAAATACAAGGAAAAGACACCATTCGTGGTGATTGTACATGTGTGTATGCATTTTTCCGGGGGGAAAGATGCAACATTCTTTTCGACCTGGAGAGTTAACTCTTCTTGTTATCTGGTAGGGAGCAGAAATGGCTTACTTATGTCACGGTTATCTTTGTTTAATGCATCTGATTTTCAGCATGCCCCAAGGATGACAGACACTCCTGTTTCTGGAACAATATAGTTCTAGGATTAAACAATTGTTGTGAATACTTCGGGTGCTCGAGAATTCTCTTGTTGATATCGATAATGATTTGTGTCTCCGTCAGGTGATGCTCCCTGTCCTGCAGATAAATTAAAACTCTTGATGCCCATCGCTGCTGAAGTCCGAAATTCTTTCTTTCACAAGAAAAATATATCGTGATCTCTTTAAAAATAGAATCTTGGGTCTGGCTAGTCTGCACTTCTCTTGAAAAATCCTTAGATAGCAAATTACGAAGGCACCGAATACGGTTTCAGACCCTCTTGCAGTATTCCCACTTTCAGAATGACGTGTCGTCAGTTTACTAAACAAGTAAACAAGGGCACATATGATATAGGAGTGTGTTTCGTTGCGATCTTAAATCCACTCAGAGCAAAACAAAATTTACGGTTCTGTTTCATCGACAGTACTTCGACATGGCGATGGTGTGATCTGCAGAGTTGAAGTTTTCCGAGACCTCGATAGTTTGCGTCGCCGTACTGGAGGATGAGATGTACCAAACAGCCGTATGCTTGGCTTGATGAGTACAGTACCTTCGAAGGTACTTGTATATTGTCAATCATGAGACCCCGCGAGTGGGTTGAATTGGCAGCAAGAGTCTTCTGAGACCGTGCCCGTATTTCATTTGCCTGAAATCGTTGAATGAAGAGGCCTGAAATTAAATCGCGTCGAAAAGCACAGTCAGAGAGTAATTATTTATTATTTTTGTGGATGGTGACAAAGAGAAGCTTGAAGTCCACACACTGCACTGTACTACAGTAGGGGGGATACGCAGTGCGTAATTGCTGAAAAAGGTCATCCGCTCATCGTTGCAAACCTTCAAAAAAAGGATCTCAATACGCTTTAAAAATTGAAATGATATCGGCAGGGTTAAAACCTTTGTGCAGTTTAGGAAAAGGACAACATCTAGCAGCTTTACCTGCTCAACTGCTTTGGCGCAATTTTTTCTCCAGAGTGACGTCGTTCTTACCGTGCAACGAGTCCTCTAACTCTTACTATGGCGAGGATGTGCCAAGGCAGTTTAGAAACACTGAGAGATCATTTACACGTCGTGGAATCGCCACTGGCCACTATTTTCAGGAATTGTGGTTCGTCCAAGCGTTTATCCTCATTGTAAAGAATTGCTGTTTTGCGTTTCGTTCGATCACAAATGGCACTGATCTCATTCTGTGACTCTCAAGGCTTTCCGTACGCAATCGAGTTGTTTGCTTCAGAGATTTGATATTCTCTGCATCTCTCGAGCGACAGTTGTACCCCCAAATCCTCAGCAGGCACCAAAACAACAAGGGAGTGATGCTGTTTCCTGCAGTGTGTTTGAAACGGCTACCAAACCGTTTTCAAGGTGCCCTAAAACTGAATTCTTTGAGGGAAGTAGAATCTTCTATCCTTTATTAGAGACAGCAGTAGAGGCGTTCCACGACATGCGATGCGGAGAAGAGACTGGACAAAACGTGATTTACAGGACGTCGCAAGAGCATCAATTTTCAATAGGACTCCATGAGCTAACCATGTAAGACTAGAAGCCTCGTTGGGTGTGAAAAGAGATGACACAGTCTTGCTGGTGGAACAGCTACAGGTTCTCTCTCTTTATGGACTGAAAGAAGAATTGAACAAGCGCAGAAAGGATGATCTGGTCGAAACAAGCGAAGGCGGTTGTTGGCTGCAGTGCATTTTCACAGTACTGAATGCAAAGTCACGATCTGGTTCGAGAGACGTGCCGTGGAAATGGCTGGCTTCATTAAACGAGAGTATATTCGGGTTGACGGAAGGATGATCGTTTTCTCGTCTCGACGTCATGGCAAAGAGAGTGTACCCACAAAGGAAGGACAGGACGGGCACTTCGACTTCTGGACAAGATGCATTGAACAGGCTTCTGTCCCGGGTTTTCGGTGGGACAGAAGGCCCAGCAACGTGCTCTTCTGAAAGGGGCGCAACAATGCAAATGGCCTGGTTGGGATCGACAGCCAGAGGGGTCGATTAAAGATGGTAAAGAGCCTGCCCTGTACTCAACTAGGTCAAGACAAGTGCGAGATGAGAGATCAGAAATATATAATTGGTTTCTGCACAGGCGTGAGAGGACGCCTCAATGAGGGCATGACGTATTGAGATTAGTTGTGAATTTTGGTTGCAAGAAAACGACTGGACAACGAAGGGAGCCAGTGCAGGACGCAAAGGATGATAGGGTGAGACATGTGATTTCAGTTGTGGGCAAGGCGAGGCACTAGGGAGGAATGGAGAAGGTTGATGTAGAGAGCAGACGGTACAGCAGTGAGTTGTCCCTAATTTGATCGATGACCGTGAAATCAGGCATTGCGAGGGTTTGCAAGAGCGGTTGATGAATGGTTTTACGTCACAAATGATTGCAAGAGCCTTACTGAAGTCCAATGGCTGTGGGCCTGTGCTGTAGGCGTACAGAGACTGTAGATGATTGAAGTGCTCCCCGGCGGCAACGGGCGGGGGGGTTGGATGGTGGGAGAAGTTGCGCAAGCATGCTCGCAGCATGCGTGGTTTCGGAGTCGCAATGATAGAGCCGACCAAAGGGGGAGGTGTGACGTTGGGAGAGGGTGACGCTGACATGCCTTTATTGGGCCGTGGTTGGTGCGGGAAATGAGCCAGTTAAGAGATGGAAGAGGGCGGATGCTGTTTTTGGGCGTGATTTATTTATAGGGTGAGGCGTGCAAAAGCAAATCAGATTATCTTGACTGAGCGTACAAAATAAGACTATGATAAAGGGCGGGACCCGATAAAGAGTCGGTATTGTACAAGCTGCAAGTATCACGAGAGACACCAGAAGACGGTATGACAGAAAAGAGAGCTGCGATGTCGAGGCCTGCCAAAAACAGGCTCCTGGGAGCCGGGACCAGCTTTCCTGTTAGGAGCTTTCGAGATAGAGAATTCGCTTCTCCGTAACGAGGAAAAATTAACTGAATTCATAGATTTAACACTAAAACAGAGCCCGTATGATAACACGTTTGAGTGCTCTTGCGCTAGTGTCGCGCACCTATCACGTTGCGTGTCTCCCTGTTTTTTACTGCTCTTGCACATTGGACCCTTCCTCACTTACCGCTCCCCATCTCCACGACAAAAAACCTGGAGCTCCTCTCTATACACACATTTATATCCCTGTCCGCTCTCCTACCCCACAAAACACTGCCCCTCGTGTCTCTTGGCTCAGATCAGTCCAGCCCAGACATGTTTTCAACCCTAACAGATGCTCATCCTCTCAACAGTCCTGCAACAGACAAACCCCCCCCCCCCCCCCCCCCCCTTT